ATGCTGCCTGTGGAGATGATGAGCGATTCCTGACCCTGAGGCCAGAGATCGTGAACTGGTCGCCGCGCGTGGCTGCTGCGGTCGGGGGCTAAGAACTGCGGTGCAACGTCTTGCGCCACAGGTAAGGCGAAAGCAAGACGACACTGTTCCTGCTACTGGTGCTGTTGTTGTGCTGTTGTTGCTTTGCAGTCCTGCGTCGCGTTTCCTTTCAATGGACCCGGTTATGCATGACACGACTATCAATGCAACCACAGTGCTTCCACCGGGTTCCATCACGGAAAACAGCTGGAAAACGCATGGCCCAAACTTATCTCTGAAGCCTAAACCGGAAGCCTGCATCTCCAATGAGCCCAAATCTTGACAACCCGATTCGCTGACTGCCTCCTTCTCGAATATCCATCTTCAGTAGGAGGAAGTCCCAAGCCTTTCTGGACCTTCAAACCGAACCCCGAACTATGAACCCGAAGGACCCTTGAGCCCTACACACCGAACCCCGAAAGCCTTAAACCCTAAACCCTAAACCCCTAAACCCCTAAACCCCTAAACCCCTAAACCCTAAACCCCAAAGCCCAAAGCCCTAAACCCTAAACCCCAAAGCCCTAAACCCTAAACCCCAAAGCCCCAAACCCTAAACCCTCATGTGCCGAGGATTCTCTCGACTCCAGGTCAGAGCTCAAGGCGCCTCTTCTCCTCGCCAAGACAGGGCTTGAGTCTCTTTTTCGTATCTGTGCGTGCAGAAAGAACAACCATACATTAATCAAAATGGTCATAATGATCATAAGAGTCATAACCATTGTGCATAACGGTCATAATAATCATAAGAATCATGGTCATCATGCTGCTCCTCGCAGTTAGGACAAAAGCTTGAGCGCATCCTAAAGAAAAGCCCTTGCAGGCGACTCAGCTGGTTTCTTTGAGAAGGGAGCTGCTCCGAAGCCAAGCCTCGACACCAAAAAGCCTAAACCCTTACCTTCGGTTAGTAGGGAATGGAGGAATGGACTACTACTGCTACTACAACGACGACGACTACTACTACCATTGTTCCATTCCCTACTAACCAAAGGTAAGAACCCTGAACCCTGGTGGTTATCAGTCGTGAGGGACTGCTACCCGGGAGGTCCTGCTTGAGCTGGCTGCTCCTGCAGTGAGAACCTCGCCTGCGCCCCGGATCCGATCACCGAAAAGAAGGATGCCGGCGGGCCCCAGGTCCTATTTCCAGATCCTTCTTGTCGTTCTCAGCAATCCCCTTGTCCCCTGCCGATGCCAAGCCTGAGGGTTAGGGTTTACCCTTCGATCCCCAAGACTAGAGCCTAAAGACCTCGACCTCTCGGCGTCGAAGCTCGGAGCATCAAGCACCGATCCATGTTTTTCGACCCTTCGGTGCTTCGGCTTCGTCTAGTTTGCCCTTGCCTTACGGGTGATAGGTAACCAGATTTTTTACTATCCCTTAGTCCAGGAAGTTTCCTTAGATTTTCACGCGATCCCTCATGTGACTTAAGGAGTATCACTCAGCTAGGGTATATGGGAAGATCTGGGCAGTTTCAAGTATGCGCTTTGACTTCCCTACCGACAAAGGGTGCAGGCAAGTTTTGCAAGTACAGCAACCTACTGTCTGCTGACCAAGGTTGCAGTCAGTAGGATGTGGCACATGCGATCGGCTGTAAAAACTCTTGAATGATTCCGCCCCGTCCTGTTGAACCATACTGTCTTGTGAGAAGAGACGGATGGTAGTTGTTGAAAGTACTTGTCTGTGATAGCGGGTTCCTGTCTATGTGCATGTTCCACCGATCTCGATAGACAGGTCGTTTGGAACACTCGTTAAACCCTGCACCCCGCAGCATCAATCTCAGGACTTTTCCCCAAAACCCATACAAATGTGCAATCCAAGACCCCGAAACACCCTGTCGCCCGAACACAAGACACAACGCCATTGAAACAGCACAGCTTCCACAACCTGATGAATGCTGTCAACATGAGATGCTAAAGGATTTTAGCATAAGTTGGCTCGGGCATTTGAACCTTCAGTCTTCAGCCAGCGGCTCAGAAATCGACATTTCATCGGGGCGATCATATCTTTGCCCTGGTATATCTTGCCCCTCTCTTCTCAAACCCTGCAAAATACCTACAAAGCCCTTGAAAATGCCTGTAAAGCCCGATCAAGTGCCCCCTAAAACCCTCTAAATTACTTATACAAAGCCCTTGAACAAAAGCTGATACGCCCTTGAAGGGATCATAATAGGGCATAAGGCCCCTTTAAGGGTTCATCAGTCTATAAGAGCCCTTGAAAAAGCTTAGGTATCTGCACTGGTACTGCGCATGGCGCCTCAGGGAGGTCCGTTTTTGCTCGCGAAATGTCGGGGTTCTTGTGGATCCGGGTGCAGATCCTCCGATATCCCTGAAGTAAGGAATATACCTTCTTTCATAATATGATATTAGGTATCCCACGATGATTTATGTCTTTACTGGGGAATAGACTTGAAGTTACAGTTGAGGAAGATACCAGACATTCAATCTGTTTTAATACCCCACCCCACAAATGATTGAGGAAGATACCCCAAGCTATAATTGAGGGAGATAGCCTAAGTCCTAGTAGGAGTAGCCCTAATATGATTCGAGGAGCATCCCGCATCTTGGAAGATGTGGGAGTCTCCTTGCGTGGCTTACGTCGGGTTTGTAACGGGCCCACGGCTTTTTTGGAGCGTGTGTCGAGCTGATAGGGTTCATGTCTCTCTGCCCATAATCCTTTAGGCAACTTCTGGCTGAACTAGGATCAACAGATTAAGCTGTATTATCGTTTTTGGTTGCTGTGTTTTATCTTCAATATCATCCACTGTCAGTAACTTTGTGTTTCTTGCATTTCTACTCATGGATGGTGCATAGGCTAGTTTCTCTAAGTTGGGGATCTGTGTCATGGGTCCGACTGTCCTGGGTTGAACTCGAGCCAAGCTGGATCATCTTGGCTCTGGACTTCATAGGATGTGGATGCTTTCCAAGGCAGTGGTGTCTTTGCATTGTCCCGATCTTTAGGATTGAGGCACGTGTCTGGAACCCGGAGCGTAACATGATCCGAAACCAGGAGCATCATGCCATAGCCATAGACAGAGCAGGCAGCCGGAGCAAGCAAGCTCTGATAGAACTGGACCTGCAACGTCATGTAGGCCTTCCAAAAGCGTGTGAGCCCGTTGGGGATCTATACACGTGGGAAGTAAGAGGTTAAACAGCAACCTGTACTGTGCTATACAATACTTGTCCCGACTGCGAACCTAGAGCCCAAAACTCTTGACCCAAACTGATTCCAGAGTTCGTGGGTTTTGGTGTCGCGGGTGCGATTAACCCCGGTGTAGGGTTTGGTGTTTACAGGGACAAGCCGGAAACCTCAAACACAGAGCCGGTCTTGGCAGGAGCCAGACCTTGTTTTCGTGTCGACATCGCGGCTGATGTTTTTCAATGCGCTCGGTTCTGAGTTCCATCGCTCAGCTTGAGTTCCATGAAGATGCATGGCAGTCGAGTAATGATGGCGGTATTCATGTCAGGAAGAAGAAGAACCAGTGAGCAGCAAAGCACTGCGATTGCAGAAGCACCAGCAATCATCATCGTCGACATCATCATCATCATCATCATTATAAACCTTCTATTCGTCATCATCCGCATTCTCATGCTCATCACCTTCATCACCCTCGACATCTTCATTGTCATAACAATCGCAGCGTTACCATCATCTCAGTCATTCAGCGTCATCGTCGTACTCATAGTTGAACCAAGCAACAGCAACTGCACAGATTGGCCCTAAAAAGCCTTCATCATGACACAAGGATGTCCTCACCAACTTCTCATGAAGGTCCTTCGTGAGCTGCCCGCTGAATTTCCGCAACTATCGGAACTTGCACGAGGCGGCGCTATGTTGAGACCCTCTAGCTTCATGGTGTTTTGTTTGAGCTGGGGTTCGGGTCTCCTTGGGCCGGTCATCGCCGGATCCGGCGGATGCTGCAGAACCGCATTGCTGTCAAGCGCTGTCTGGAATTCTGAAAACATGTGGGTGGTTGTCAATATTAGGGTCCCTTTTTGGGTCCCAATGATAATACGGCACCTAATATTTAGGGTACCCAAAAAGGGACCATATTTTTGACAACCACCCATGTAGCTGCTTCGTCTTGTGCTGCACCCGGTGCATGGCACAGGTGTCTGGCTATCCTTCCTTCCAGCTGTACTTTGCACTCGGTGCAGTGCCACTGGCAGGACACCAGGTACCGTCGCAGCTTCTTGAGGTTTGGTAGGATGGGAGTCTACGCACGCGCTCCACCGTTGTGACGAGCGTGGTTCCTGCTATGACTACCGTGGTTCTGGTGTTCTATCGTTATACATCGTGTTGCTATTTTTTTGGTTGTTGTTGCATGCGAGCATTAATCTTCACGTTACTATTGTTATCACTGGTAGGGGTCGTAGCGCTGGTTGTCGTGGTGCTGGTGGCAGTAGATCACAGGGAAATGGTACGCCAAAAAGAATGCTTCAACCCAAGGAATGGTGATAGCTATCCCTCTGAAATGAGACTCCCCCGCCCAGCCTCAGAACCTCCAATCCGGCAAGGGGGTTTCCGAAAATGGGGGACCCGAATATGGTACCCTAAATAGTAGGATCCTTGTTGTAGGACTCCAAAAATACGGTGCCCCTACTGAAACTCCGGCAAGGCCCTCCAGAGCTTTGCCAGCCGGGCATCTGAAAGCCTGGGCTTGGCTGCCAGCTCCGTTACGGCCGGAGGGCTCGGGCCGACAAGCGCTGCTTGCCACAAGTACAACTACAGCACCTGCTGCTGCTCCTGCTCCTGCTACTGCTAATGTTGCGACTTCTGCCACTACTGTCACTACTGGAGGACCTCATTTCAGCCCTAACTCAAGCCACAGCGCGCATGAGCTCTCGGCACGGGTTCTCAACACATGCTCGCGATATCGCTGGCGGCCGTGTAGCTCAAAGCAGCAGCTTGAGCCCTGCGGAGCGTGACCACG